GCTGATTGGCTAGGGCCTCATATACTTTTGAGCACTTTACCTGTCTTCCCAGCCCCAGAAATTAATTCTTGTGAAGTAAACAAACTAGCCAAACATGGTAGCACATGTATCTAATCCCACACTCAGGAGGTTGAAACAGGAGGATGGCCATGAGTACAAGGCCAGCCTGACCTACATGAAGTGTTTCAGTCTATCTGAGTTACATAGTAAGAACTTGTCTGAGAGAATCAAAGATAAAAAGGATAGCCATCTGTAGCAGCATATACCTATAACTGAAAGGGTATATGGCGCTCGTTAGGTCGGCGGCGGAAGAGTCACAAGTGAAGAGTCACGAGCTGTGGTTACCAGAGTTAGAATAGGCTTTATAGGGAGAAGAGGGGGTAGGAGAGAGAGAGAGAGAGAGAGAGAGAGAGAGAGAGAGAGAGAGAGAGAGAGACAGAGACAGAGAGAGAGAGAGAGACAGAGAGAGACAGAGACAGAGACAGAGAGATATGCAGAGAAAGAGAGAGACAGAGAGAGACCAACAGCAGAGAGAGACGCACAGAAAGACCGCGCAAGAGAGCGTGGAGAGAGTGCAAAGAGAGAGTATGGGGCGCAAGTCCGGCTTTCAGGCTGGGATGCAGTCACCCGCTGATGACATAATAAGGCGCCAGAGAAGCTGCTCATATACAGAACCCTTACAATTACCCCAGCACTTGGAAGGCTGAGACAGAGGAATCAAGGGTTGGAAACCAGCCTGGGATACAGAGAAACTGCATCAAAACTTTATCAATTTAATTAAAAACAACAATCAAATACCTGTTACAGTTAAAATCAAAGCTATCTCTTTGGAAAGATGTCAGAATGTCCAAAGAAATAAGAGAAAGATCCATGATGTTGATGACTGTGTGCCCCCACCTCTACCTGGGTACTCTTGAGGAGTGAGGGATAAGAGATTTAGATATAAATATAGACCTGAGAGAGAAAGACAGAAACACAGGATAGCCTTATTAGGGCCTAGATCCTTATCTACTAGCCCAGAACTTGATTCAAAAGGCCTTTTTATAACAATGCCAAGGGGAGGGGCAAAAGACCATCCCCTTGCTCAATACAACCAAGTGTAGACCCTTCCAAATACCTGGTACCCAGGCCTGTGGTCCATTCATCCTCTTAAGCAGTCCTGCTGGGTAAAGCAAGCTCAGATCTCATTAGGAAACTTCTATGGCCCCCAATAGCTGTGACTGAGTTAACTTGGACAGTGTCCCCTCAACCTCATGTAGAATCTGTCACCCCCACTAGCCAGAGTCCATCCTACTCCTGTGGTCCAATGCTCCAGGATCTGTCTGGTAGACATGCTTTCTCCAGGAGCCAGCTTGATGGCCATGTTGCTAACCTCCCACAGCAAATGACCCGCAGACCTTTTCCATAAATACACTTGAGTTCAGTCTAACCTCCCTGCTGTTACTGGGGTCCCCAAGGTCACTTGGGCTCACTGAGTCACCAGGACTCACAGAGCAGAGCTGTCTTCCCAACAGCTGTGATTTCCTGCAGAGAAGCATGTCATTTCCCTGTCCCCATGATGTTGTGAGTTTATGTGACACAGGGACCCTCAGAGCTGAGAGTGTTAGGGCCACCATGTGGTTTCCTGCCACCTACAGTGGACTGGAGGCATCTTCAGTCTGGGCGAGAGGGAAGGGTGAGCTGACTCATTTTTCCTAAGAACAAGAAATAAACTTGTGTGGTTGTGGCAGTCTAGAGTTGACGGTTTTGCTTTGGCAACAACTGTGGTAGAAGCCAGTGAATCCAAGCTGTGTCCACAGGCAGTTCAGAATGGGGATGGTGAGAATCCATGTCTGGGAGCAGCCAAAGCTATGACTCCTCCTTCCAACTCTTCTCTGCCTTCCAAGAGAAGCAGGTGGAGCAACCCTCACTCCTGCACTCTGTGAGGAGAGCAAGGCTCCCAGAGACAGGGCCAGCTCCTGAGCCACACTCTCTGAGCTCATGGAAGTAGCCTGGCCAATCACTGGACGGTAGCTACCCAGGAAAGGCCTGTCTCCCCAAGGCACATCTATCACTGCAACTGTAACCTGTGCAGGATCAAGAGGGGACATGGCTTATCACACACATGCATGCATTGTTATGTGTATATCATACCATAGACATGTGAACCTTCCTGACATTGCTACACATGCCACACACATGTATGTAGCACAGTGTACTTGTGATATATACCTGCAGGGCATAGTGCACACACTACACATGATACATATATATTGCAAATATTATATGTGTATATTCCATATCTCACACAGCTATGCACCATACACATGCTACACATGCTACACACATGATGTATATATACCACACACATCAGATGTATATATGTACACCATTCTTTACACAGCAGAATATACCACACACATACCTTGCCAATGGTCCTGTTTCTCAGACAGAGTCAGGGTGTGTTAACAGGGGTGACTGTGATGGCCAAGGTTGTAACAATACAATATGAACAATGGCTTTGTTGCATACACAGACACACACGTACACATACACACTTTCTCACACATAGCCATACACCGCACCCAAAAACACATATGTACCAGTGCTGTGGGATATTGCTTTTGTACACTGGTTTAATAAAACATTGAATGGCCAGTAGCCAGGCAGGAAGGATAGGTGGGATAAGCAGATACGGAGAATTCTAGGAAGAGAAAGACTGAGTCAGGAGACACCAGGCCTCTCTCCAGGGAGCAGCATGTAATGGGACACAGGTAAATCCATGGAAAATGTGGCGACATATAGATGAACAGAAATGGACTGAGTTTAAGTGTAAGAGATACTCAGTAGAGAGCCTGAGCTAATGGCTGAGCAATTTTAATTAATATAAATCTCTGTGTGTTTACTTGGGTCTGAGCGGCTGCGGACTGGGTAGGACACAGGAAAACTTCAGCTACATAGGAGCCCTGAGAGTCCAAGTACGTGTTATGGTGACCGCTAAGAGTACAGGTGCACACATGTTACAGTGACCCCTGAGAGTACAGGTGCACACGTGTTACAGTGACCCCTGAGAGTACAGGTGCACATGTGTTACAGTGACCCCTGAGAGCACAGTGCATGTTACAGTGACCCCTGAGAGTACAGGTGCGTGTTACAGTGACCCCTGAGAGTACAGATGTGTGTCACAGTGACCCCTGAGAGTACAGGTGCACACGTGTTACAGTGATCCCTGAGAGCACAGGTGTGTGTTACAGCGTCCAGCTTGACGTGGCTTCTGGGGATCTGAACTCTAGTCATTACCTGTGCAGAGTGAGCACTTTACCTCTGAGCCATCTCTCCAGCCCGTGGAGGTCCCTGAGACACCAGGCTCTTTGAAGTGGTCTTGGGGCTTCTAAGTGGCCACAAGAGGGCCACAGGGAGGAGTCCAGATCCTACATAGAACTCCTGTTACAACACTGTGTTTACAAATTTCTATATAACTCTAAGATTTTCTTGTGTGTGCAGGTTCCTCATCTGTCCAAGCTTATCTAAAAACTCAGCTCTTGTAGAGTGACTCAACATCAACATGAGGTACAGCTGGCGGCTCAGCCGTGGCCGTCACCGATACTTCTGAGCCCCTAGTCCTCACTCAAGTCTTCAGCACAAAGGGAATGTGGCTTTGTGTTGTGTTGGGTACACTGATTTGCCACAGAGGAGGTTTTGTGACTCCACCTTGAATGTGACTCCCTGTTACCACACTCCTCAAGTCTGGGCCAGAGTTTAAGAAGTAGTCATGGTGTCTCTTCACAGCACTAGAGTAGTGACTAAGACACCAAGCAGAGACTATGGCATTGGAGTCCCCAAGTGAATACACAAAGCAGATTATTTGCTCTTGTTGAGCTGATATTGAGTTGAGCATAAAGAAACAAAGGACACAGACAAAATTCAGACAGACACCCTGAAGATGTATATGTGAGAGGCAAGAACTGGAGAAAGTGATACAATGAGAAAATTCTGCATTATCTGCTAATAGGGATTGGGAATCAGTGGAATGCGTATGATTGCCCAGAGGAGAGCCCCAGGCCAATGAAGAGCAAGTACCAGTGTCCCCCATGAATGTCACCACAGCCTCTAGATACTGACATATATCAGAGAGGTACAGATGCCTCTAAGGTTAGGTGCATCACTGGGCTCTAAGAAACATTCTCTTGCCTTCTTCCCCAACATGAGAGGGAAATGGACCTCCAGCATTAGGAACTGGATTATCAGAAAGGAGAGACCTGAGTTATTCTTCATTCTCCCTCCCAACACCCAACACCCACCCAAAACAATGACAACAGGCCCATGTCTAGATATGGGGCCAGGAGACATACAAAGACAGAGTCATCAGGTAGAGTGGCTGATGTCCATACTTTCAGCACTCAAGGAATGGAGCATTTCTGTGAGTTCAAGTTCAGCTTGAAATAGTGCATTCCAGCCCATCCTGGGTTGCAGTGTGAGACACTGTCTCAAATAAACAAGGTCTGACACATATCTCAGTTGGTAGAGTGCTTGTCTAGCATGCATGAATCCCTGGGTTCAATTCTGAGCACAGCATAAATGGCATGTGGTAGATCACACGTATAAAAACGTAGATTCAGGAAGTAGAAGCAGGAGGATCAATTCTAGGTCATCCTTAGTTGTATAGAGCCAGATTGAGCTAGAGATCTGCCACAAACAAACAGAATAAGATGGAAGAGAGGAGAGAGAGCTGTGACCTATAGGTCTGTACCTTTGTGGGGACTCAGCATCAACATAAACTCTGATTAAGGTATCAGGATCACAGTGTTTGCTGGACCCGCTGTGTGAACCCAGAAATAGTGCCAGAGACCCCATGGACTAAGAGCACTCTATGGAAGGGTAAGCTGAATTTTGGAAGGAGATGGTTCCTCTGCTCACAGGGAAGGAGCAAGAGAAGATTGACAGCCCTCACGTCCACTCAGGAAATGATGTGTCACAGAGGGTGGAGCAGCCTGAACAAAAAAGGAAAGACTTTCCAGGGCTCTGCCAGGAGTGGGAAGGTTGTGAAGCCCTTAGCTGAAGACTAGTGGATAGGTAGCACCCACAATCCATGGTCGTGGATGTGTCCCCTCACTGGGAGTGATGGGAACTAGTGCCCCTGAGGCCTGGAGCATCTTCAGAGCACTTCCTGTACCAGTTCATCTGAAGCCTCTCAGGGGACCAGGAAGCAGAGGACAGAAAGGAGAACTCGGCATGTGAACACTGAACTGTCTAGAAGGACACGGCCCCTCCTCCTCTTGGGCTTGGTATGGGCAGGAGACACCAGAGCTGAAGAAATGACCCCAAGAGTGATGGGAGTGTGGCTGCCTTCAGCTCTGCTCCTCTTGCAGGTCCCAGGTGAGCACGGGGATGGGGGTTTGTGTGGGGTTACAGCTCTGAAAGGGGAACTCCTGGAGTAAGTGAGAGTGCAGGACAGGGGGATGGTAGGTGGGAGAGAGCAGTTAACAGAGGAAGATGGGGCCCATTGAAGACAAGGAGTGGGGGTGGGCAGGAGTGGCCAGCATCACCTCACAGGTGCTGTCAGGATTCAGTGCACAGTACAGTCATGACTACCACACCTGAGACAGTCAGGACCTGCTGAGAGGGTTAGCTGTGACAGTCATTACCCTGAAAGCACACGATCTCTACTGTGTACACACATGTATTTGCATACCAAATGTACATAAGCACTGATTCCTGCATAGATACATGTCACACCCACACAAACATACGCACATATATATACATAGGTAAAGACTCCCTCCCACCAGCTGTCTCTATCTCTCTCTGTCTCTCTGTCTCTGTCTCTGTCTCTGTCTGTCTGTCTGTCTCTCTCTCTCTCTCTCTCACACACACACACACACACAGTGTTGTTTCCTACTGGGCCCTTCCTTTCTCAAGGGACAAGCCCCCTCCCCACCCCCTCTTCCGGACAACACAGGTGCTCACCTCAGTCCTGACTCCTGGGTCTGACAAAGCCTGTCTCCTTTCTCCAAGGACAAGCCCCCTCCCCACCCCCTCTTCCGGACAACACAGGTGCTCACCTCAGTCCTGACTCCTGGGTCTGACAAAGTCTGTCTCCTTCCTCGATGTTTCCTCCAGACCAGACAGCTCTCTAGGAGATGACCAAGGGGGGCCTGACCCCATCCAGCTGTGAGGGTGCAGAATTGGGCCTTGTGTTTTCCAGGCTGTGTCCCTCTGCGTGGCCCCAGCAAGGTGACAGGCACTGTGGGGGAGTCCCTGAGTGTGCGGTGTCAGTACGAGGAGGAACACAAGAATAATGAGAAATTCTGGTGCAGAGTGTCACTGCTACCACCATGTAAAGAGATTGTCAAGACCAGAGCCTCAAAAGAAGCTAGGAATGGCCGAGTGTCCATCAGGGACCGTCCAGTCAACCTCACCTTCACAGTGACCTTGGAGAACCTCACCCTGGAGGATGTAGGCACCTACAAGTGTGGGGTGGACATGCCACTTTTTGATGACAGATCCTCTGTGGGAATCAATCCCTCCTTGGGGATCGATGAGTCCTTCAAGGTTGTGGTGTCCGTGGTCCCAGGTAAGCTCCCCTCATGTCAGGGCACCCTGAGTCCAGGCCTGTCATTCCCTCATGAAGGAAGGAAGGCAGATACAAGAGCATGGTGAGCTTGGTGAATCAGTGACTCAGGCCACAGGGGGTGTGAGTCCACGTGTACCTTTGTAAGATCATGTGTGGTATGTGTGATAGTGTATGTACACCAATATATGTGTGTGCGTGTACACACAGGCACAATGGGGAACCTGGGTTCTTAGAAACTCTCTTTTCATTACATTTACTTAGTTAGTTAGTTAGTTAGTTAGTTAGTTAGTTAGTTAGTTGGATAGCCCCGGTGTGTGTCAGCCAGAGAACTCGCACTCAGTTCTCTCTCCACAATGTATTCCTGGGGCTCAAACTCAGGTCATCAGGTTTGACAAGGAAGGTCTTTACCAACCAAGCTGTCTCATCAGCCACTGTTCGAGATTCTCTGTGTGTTCCATATGACAGTCTGAGGCCCAGAGACATGCCGTAGATCAGTGGCTCTTTGTGACTTCCTGTCCTCATAGGAGACAAGTCCTCTCTTCCAGGTCTCACTTGGTCCTGTCCCCATCTCATGTGGGAACAGTACCCAGCGTATCTGCTCCCCTCTTCAAAGGATGCCCTGGCCTGAAACTGAGTGGACACTTTACTTCCATGGAGGTCCTGAGGGAGCAGCCTCATCACAGTGTTTGTGGGTCTTCTGACAGGAACCAGAGACACAAAAAGGAGGGTAGATTGTGTATCGGGGTTCTTGATCCCTGAGGAATCCATTCAACTACTCCAAGTTCCCCTGCATCCCCCTTTCCCAGGAAACATTTACTGCAGGTAAAACTCAGGGAATCCCCCAAAAGTGCCCCTTCCCAGGCAGAGGGTGAAGCTGGATGGAAGACAGTCTCTCAGCTCCTTTGGTCCCAATGTTCTCCATGTCTGCAGTCATTCTCCCCTAATGGAGCCTCCCTTGTTACAGACTCCTAACTAGTGCAGCATCTCTTTAAGGGCAGGGTGGTGGAGGGGCTGAAGAGGATGAACTGCTCTGTTATTCCCAGTTTTCTCTTTTCTGAGAGAGGTTCTTGTGTAGCCCAGGCTGGCCACAAACTCACTGTGTACCTGGGGTTCATCTTGAATGACTGATCTTCCCGACTCTGCCTCTCTGGCACTGGGATTACAGGCTCCCATCCCCACACCCAGCTTCCTGTTCTGGTTCTCAGTTTTGGTTTCCCCCTCAAAAAAACTTCCCTCCAACATCCTCTGTTGGTTCACAGTGAAGTGGGTGGAACCAAATCCTGCTGGTGTCTCTAGTTCCCCTCAGTAGAGGCCACTCTCCACAGGGTCCTTCAAGCATCTGTCTTTCTAGAACTTTCCATCTGGCCATTCCTCAGGAAAGACTTCCCAGTGGCCTGTCTAGGTGACAGTGTGGGCATGAGGGGGCTAGGCAGACAGAGTCCCATCACTCTGTGTCTGTCCCCAGAAGGATGGAAGACAAGGAAGCAAAAGGTGTGACTGAGGCCAGAAGGGACCTGGAACCAAGTGTCTTGTCATTGACACTTAAACTCTCCTCTACAGGAAGACTGGCCTCAAGTTTGAAAGTGCCAACCAGCCCCAATGCACCATGGGAAAGGCTGGGAAGGGAAGAGCTGACCAGGACTTGGTGGGGCCATGGGGCTTGTAGGCTGTCACACAGCTGTCCACCGTGTCCCTAGGGACCTGTGTGCAGCAGAGCTGCAGAGGTTTCAGTGGGGAGGAGATGGAGTGGAGGTCACTGGGACAGTCTGTGTTTCCATCCTTAGCTCCAGTCATAGTCTCTTTACCCAAGATCATAGCAAATATCCTGGGGTCCCCCACATCCTCACCAGTGCACACTCAGTCCAGTGTGACCACAGAGGATACAACTCCTGGTCCCAGCCTACAAGCCCGGTGAGGAACCCTGAGGGCTCTGGATTGGGGTGGGGGTAATGCTGGAGGTGGAGGTAGAAGGGTTTGGATCTCCCTCCTTGGGCATCTCCTGCATCTTCCAATCACACACTGACCTGGGGAGTGTCTTGTGAACAACAGTTGCTCATCTACAGATTGGGACACAGCAATGACACCCAGACCCAGACCTGCTGAGATGGAGTTAGTTTCCTGTCAAGAGGTTACTACACAAACACACCCAGAGTCTGGGGAGATGGCTCTGCTGGTAAAGGATCTGAGTTCGAGCCTCAGCACCTACATGTCAGGCATGGTGGCATACACTTGAAATACCTGAGCTGTGGAAGTGGAGACAGGAGAATCCCTGAGACTCACTTTCCAGCCAGCCTAGACTACTTGGCAAGCTCCAGGCCAATGTGAGATCCTTTCAGATAACAAGATAGATGCATCAGGTGTGGTGACTCATGCCTTTATTCCAGCACTTGGGAGGCAAAGGCAGGCCAGTCTAAGAGATGAAACTCAGCCTGGACTTCATAACAAATTTCATTCTAGCCAGAGCTGCATAGTGAGACCTGTTCCAACACCAACATAACAAGTTGATGATTCTTGAGGAATGACACCCAAGGGTATCCTCTGGAATCCACGTTCATGCACATACATGTGCACCTACATACACACATATGAACACACACACACACACACACACACACACACACACACACACACACACCGGTAAATTAATTAATTGATGAAAATAAATACAGTCACCGGTTTGTTGTGACACAAGGCTTTAACACCAGTACTTGGGAGAACAAGGCAGGTGGATCTCTGTGAGTTGAAGGCCATCCTGGTCTACATAGTGAGTTCCAGGACAGCCTGGGCTACATAAAGAAGAGACCCTTCCCCCTATCTTCCAGAAAACCAACCAACCAAAAAACAAACAAACAAACAAACAAACACATAAATAAATAACAAAGAAGAGCCACCAGGAGAAAATAGGGGAACTCAGTTTAGAAGAGAGTTGGGGTCTGGGTGGAGGAGGCAGCGCCTGCCTGGATAGAGGCCTTAGGAGTGGAGGTCCATGGACAGATTAAGTCAGACCCACAGTTCCAGGCTACTTCTTGGGATATCAGTCACACTGGTCATCAGGCAGGGTTCCTTGTCCTCATCCCTGAAAAGAGCACCTTGGACACACACCTGGGTAAAGAGACCGACACACAGTGTAGGACACCATCACCACCTTCTGGGAAATGAGCTTATTGTGACCTTGTCCCCACAGGCCCCTGCTGAGTAGCATCTACTTCCAGGTCCTGGTCTTTCTGGAGGTGCCCCTGCTCCTGAGCATGCTCAGTGCAGTCCTCTGGGTGAACAGGCTTCAGCGGTGCTCTGGGGCGAAGCAACACTGTCCCGATTATGAGAATCAGTGAGGTCTGTTGACGTCGAAGCCCTGTCCATGACCCTGGACACAGCTCTTCTGGTGGCAGAGGACAACAAATAAATCTGTGTTTCTGAGAATACTCTCAAATTTTTAGAAGACTCTTTGTGCTGTTTTAAATACATAAAAGAATGTGCCCAACAAATACATATACATACATATTTTAATAGAATACCTTTACTTATTCTTAGATAATTCCACACATGTACAACAGAACTCTGTCTATCTTCCTCCAACCCCACCCTCCCCTCCCTCATGTGTTCCCTCCTCCCCTTCGTGGTCTATTCTTTTCCTTCCATTCTTCTCTTTCTCTTCCTAACCCACTGAGTCCACAGTGCCACCTGCCGGAATGCTAACCGATCTTGCTGTCTTGGTCTTGGGCAGGTGACCACAGCCACAGTGTCATGAGTGCACTGACCATGCCTCAGCCCGATCCCAGCTTCTCACACCCCTCTCCTCCTCACCTCTGGCTGTCGAATGCTTTCCTCTCCTTCTTCCTTCCATAATGTTCCTGAGCCTTGGGATAGGATGGGGTTGCTTGGGGTATGATGAAGGCGCCTTCTAGTAACACGGAGGTGCCTTGGGGTGGCGTAGGCTAGGGTTTGATATAGATGTCCCGTTTACGGCTGAGCACTCAATTGTCACATTTTCTCAGCACCAAGACCACAGCAGAGGGAAGCTTCTCCAACCCAGGCTGAGGACCGCGCTAATCAGAGTTTATGGACATAGATATTTAGAGGGCAGTTTGACAACATGTCCAATAAATAGATACACCTCACATGCAAATACTCTTGACACTGTGCCCTCCTCCAAATGCAGTAATAGAATGTGGTCCATACTGACGGTCCTCCTCTCTGATGTCACACACCTGCTTTCTATTCTCCTTGGTGACGACCTCAACCTGGTATTTTTTTTCTGCTGGTTTAAGGTTTTGTCACATACATGCACATGGGTTTGCCCAGGGTGTTTTGTTTAGTGTCTCTGCTTGGGGTTTTTATATAGACAGAGTTATATTTTCTTTTCTAGAGACAGGGTCTCATTATGGAGTCCTGGTCTAAAACTCGCTTTGTAGACCAAGCTGGCCTTTAACTCACAGAGATTCACCAGCACCAGCTGCCTATACCAGTGTTACCCTCTTTTCCCTCAGTTTTCGGGAGTAAACCCAAAGCCTGACATGCAGAACAAGTACTTTGTCACAGAGATGCACCCCAGCCCTCTTACTCTGTCTAACTATTTATCTATCTGTGTGTCTGTCTGATGGTGCGTCTGTCTCTACATCTCTCTCCCTTTCTCCTTCTTTCTTTCCTTCCTTCTTCCATTTCTTTCATTAGCAGGGTCTCATTGTGTAGCCCAGGCTAGTTTCCAGCTCCTCATCCTCCTGCCTCAGCCTCCCTAGTTCTGGGATTATGGGCATGTGTTACCATACTCAGTTCGCATGCCTCATTTCTAAGTCTTTGGTTTTATCATTTGACATCGTTGTGTCTTTGAGGTCCATGCACACTGATGTGTTGACACTGTACCGTGCATCTTGTTTGTGTTGCTCTGGCTGGCTGTGTTAACACACTATTACATCGTTTTCCTCTGCGGTTAAACACTTTAGAGCATCCTTTTCCTTTTCTTCTGCCTCCTTCCCTCCTCCTCCTCTTCCCACCCTCCCCCATCCTGTGTTTGTGATGAAACAGAACACAGATGGATGACTCTGGTCATAAGCATGTGTCCTGAAGGCCTGCTTTCTATGTGGGTTCCGCAGATCCAATTCAAGTCCTTTTGCTCACACAGCAAACATTTTATTGACTGATCTATCTCCCCAGTCATCTTTTTTTTTATATCTTTTGATAAATGGCTTTTAATTATAATGAACCAAATTAGTCTACTAATTATACTTTTTTGTCCCTCATTTAAGAAATTATTAATACCAAGCCAAGCACATATCTGTAATCTCAGCACTTGGGAGGTAGAGGTCTGATTTCTGGAGTTTAGTCATCCTCACCTACATCGCAAGTTCCAGTTTAGCCTGGGCTTGGTAGGACTCTGTCTCTAAAAACAAGCAGGGCCTGGAGAGATGGCTCAGCATTTAGGAGCACTGGCTGCTCTTCCAGAGAACCCAGGTTTGATACCCAGCACCCATATGGCAGCTCACAACTATCTATAACTCCAGATGATCCAACTCCCTTTCCTGGCCTCTGTGAGCACTGTCCTGGTGTAAAGACATGCACTGAGGCACAGACATCCATGCACATAAAAACAAATAAGAGCATTTTTAAACAAACAGAAACCTCAGAGAAATTGAAGAAGAGGAGGAGGAGTAAGAGGGGGGAATACAAACAACAACAGAAATAAATGACAGCGATATCCTGAAAATTAATTGTTTTCCTATTTCTTGTAAACCTTTTTATTTTTAATACCTTACACTTTTATTTATTACTATTTAGTATGTTTGTGGTGTGTGTACACACAAGTGCATGTCACAGCACACATTTGGGAGTCAGTGAACATCTTTGTGGAGTCAGGTCTCTCCTTACACTTCCAAATGATTCTGAGAACTGGATTTAGGTCCCCAGGCTCACACAGCATCTTCAACCACTGAGCAATCCTCCCGGTCCTTATAAAGGATTTAATTTTTTTCCTTTTATAAATAAGTAAGTCCTTGACCAATTTTTGTTCATTTGTTTGTTTGTTTTTCCAGACAGGGTATCTCTGTGTAGTTTTTGGTGCCTGTCCTGGATCTTGCTCTGTAGACCAGGCTGGCCTCGAACTCACAGAGATCCGCCTGGCTCTGCCTCCTGAGTGCTGGGATTAAAGGTGGTTGCCTCCACTGCCACCTGGCTCTTGACCAATTTTTAACTGATGTTTTACAGACAAGACCTAGCTATGTAACTCAAGCTGGCCTGGAATCCTCTTTGTAGACCAGGCTAGCCTAGCCTGGAACTCACAGAGACCCACCTGCCTTTGCTTCCTAAGTGCTGAGATTAAAGGTGTGAACCACCGTGCCTGCTTTTTATTGATTTTTATTCAATTAAGCCTGGACTAATAATCAATTTTTCTTTCTCTGAATTAATTTAACACTGCTCACATCTTCCCAGTGCCCTGCAATGCCGGCGACTTTGAGGAAGATACTGATTCTGAATATGTTTGGATTTTTTTCCTGGCTTCTCTGGTTTGTCTAATTCCTCAGCTCTGAACAGGTCCACTGCTGTTTCATTGCTAGAGCTTTAGTCTCAAGCCTTGATGTCATGTCACTCTTGTGGACGTCAGGATGTCTGTAAACAATGGTCAGGTCCTCTTCTATGCACACCTTTGGACTAGCCAATCAGTTCCTAAAAAGAAAACAAAATCTGAGCTAGAGAGATGGTTCAACGGTTAGGAGAAGTGCCTGCTCTTGCACAGTATTGGTGAAATTATTAAGGCCACTCCACGTAGTTAAAAGGAGATGTATTTAATGGCATAACATACAAATTAAGGGATAGGTAGGTCGCGGGGTCTGGGGAAGGTGTATCGCAGTCCAGTGGTGTTCTCTGGAGCTCTGCTTGGCCCACCTTTACCGTCCAGGGTCCCGGAACCGAGAGAGAGAGAGCACAGGCCCATCCAGATCTCAGGTCTCCAGGCGCCTCCCTTGGCTCCGCCTTGTAGGCGTGACAGTTGCCGAAGTCTCAATGGGGTTTGGAATTTCCAGATCAAAGCTGGAATGGCTACCCACTACATCTCCCCCTTTTTGTCTAAATAAGTAGGTTCTAACCTAATACAAGACTATATACAAAAGAGTGGTTATCAAATATTGTCCAGGAATAATGAGGGATAATGACCTAGATAAGATGGAAGTACAACCAATGCAAACAATATCAAGCAAGAAACACATACTAAAATCCAGAGAAGTATAGAGCATAGGTAAATGGCATATTACAAAGATCATTCCAAAAGGTGTCCTATCCTAAAGAACCTGAATCTAATACTTAATATGTTCTATCTACTAAGTTGTAACTATAACTGCTAGTCTTCAATCCCATCAAAGACCTGAGAAGGAATATAATGGTACCTGAGAAATGGTAGATGGATGCAAGCAACTTTCAGGAATCTTGCAAGAGCAGACCGAGACAACTGGCAGCCTGGACAATCACCTAATGATTCTCAGCATTGTTGGTACATCCAAATTGGCTACAGGCCTAAAATATCTGACAGACCATTTTCAGAAGCAGGAATTCTGAAAGACCATCTTACCCTGTCTTGGCAGAGTACAGTGGTCGCTTTCCTTGTGTCCCGCTTGTCCAGAAAGAACAGCATTGTATTTGTACTGTCAGCCGTCGAGGCAAGGGCAGTTCTTTGCCCAGTAGGCCATTTTGTGCCAAGAAGTCAAACTTCTAAATGGAAATGTCTTAGAAGCCCAACATTCTCTCGGGATCAAATTGGTGTAGTCAGGAGCAATTGTGTCTCACGTCAACAGAATTCTAAGTTATTTAAATGACATATTCTCTAAGTCTATGAAGTGTTTGAAGATTACCTGTCCATCTGACCTATGTATCTGTAAATCTGGATAACCTAACTAATGTAACTATAGAGATGACAAGCATAGGTGAGTATAAATCTATAAGTCTTATCTACCGAAATAACCTAAGGACTAAGGCTTCACGTAAACAAGGTAAACAGTCTATAAGCAAATGTATGGTAAAGAACGATGACTTCAAAATTGTGACAATACACAAGAAATTTATAACAGAGGTAGGAGTATATAGTGCGATATGCAATATGACAATAATCTTAAATATATATCAATATTTATAACAGAGGTAGGAGTATATAGTGCGATATGCAATATGACAATAATCTTAAATATATATCAGTATACTGAATGTCCTAAACAGAAGTAGAACATACATAAAGTATGACAGATATAAATTTCCATTTGTATCAATATACAAATATTTCAAATAAGAGTAGAAATATATGTACATTATAACAAATATAGTTCTGTATTTGTATCAATATACAAATTATCTTAAACAGGAATATAAAAATAGTTTACATTTGTATCAACATATAAGAATCCATAACAGTGCAAAATACAGTGCAAATTATCTAAGC